ACATGTCGAATGTCCTCAGTACGAAGTTCACATCTTGGACAATATCCGTTTGGGTATTGGTCGGGGTGATGTTGGTGAAGTGTTTGGCGAGTTGGGATTAAAATTTTATATTTTTAAGTTTATAGTTTATATAACATATATAAAAAAAAATAAAGAATATTTTTTTAAAAAAATTGGTAATAAATAAGTAAAAATGTTTTTTTCATAAATTAAATATATTAAAATACTTGATAACCATTATTATTTTTAGTAATAATAATTATAATTATAAAAAACATTTGTTTATATTTTTAAAAATAGTTAACAATAGATTTTAAAAAATAGTTAGTTTAATATACAAGTTTATTAATGTAATAGTATAAGATGTATTATTTAAAAAAATTCTATATTTAATATTTCCTTTATAATAAAAAAAAAAATCTTTTTTGAAGTAATTTTATTTAAGAAAAAGTATATATGATTTTATATAATTTTATTAAAGTATTTGTCAAGTTCTAAATAAATATATCTGTATATGGAATATAGAATAAGCTAATGATAATATTAAATTTTATCATTTCAAAAAAGAATATTTTAATATTTTAAAGGTTGTTAGCGCTGTTTTTGTATCTTTGCTAGCACTCGTTGCTTTTTTTTTTTTATTTTTTCCTAATAATATAAATATAATATAAAATTTTGCAATAAAGAATTGATGTGTTTAATATAACGATATGCGATCTCAACTGTATACTGTACGACGAAATACGACGAAATAGGTTAATCCAAGATCTGCTGTACTCCATGATTAAATGTTTACCTATCCTTCAGAACGTGTTCAAAATAAAATATTTTAACGCCGTATATTGTCTTTCATATAACATTATTTTCATCGAAAATTTACTGTATATAAATAAATGCTAAACAAGAGAACGTGGAAGTGTATATCTTCAAAATTCGTCCGACAAAGGAGAGGACCATGTAAGCGACGTTCTGGAATAGCTGCTGTAAGAAATTCAAAGGGAAAAGGTTAAATGTGCCGGAAGCTCTTTTAGTAAATAAGTTTCATGCTAGTGCTAAATATAAGTTTGAATATTCGAATCTTATGACTCTAATTATACCGTTTACTCAAATTTAAATAGCTGATACCGTACTGTAATGATTTTTACTTATAAATCACAAGAAATACTTAAAGAATTTTCTAAGCATCTCTGATAACAAAGAGATCATATGAATATTACAACATTTCGACAATATTTATAAAGCTCATTTGTATCAATTTATTTTTACCATAAATATGCAAAAAACAATGTACAGTACTTTCTATAGAATAATGCATCTCGTGTTAATAAAAGATCAGCAAACATTTTCCGCTCCATTAAAGATTTGAATTTAGGAAATTAGTTCAATAACCTTAATTGTTAAAAAGTGGATTTATAGACAATCAAAAACACCGCATCATTTACCACGGACTTTCAGTAAAAAAGCAATAAGGAAAGTAAATTTTAAGATTATGCAGATGCATTCTCATACTATAGTATACAAATGTAGATTTTCGGATTGTATTTCCGGAGTATTTTCATGACTACTGTAGAAGTCGCTAAAATACTTCGATCTCGGTGATTTTAGTGATTTTAGTGATTTACAAGTTTTGATGTAGTACGAGGTACCTACCACCCACTAGGAAGAGATCTTAACAACAAAGTGAACGAAAATCAGCTAAGATGACAAAATAAAAAGGAATCTCATTCATGATGACGAAAGGAATTCCATCCATTCATATTAAAGCTACAACCATGCGCTACGGATTTAAAGTCTATAAATAAAGAGAAAAATCGTTATCTTTAAACTTATTCACCCCACGATGGATAGGTTTTATATTCAAAACAATGATGGATCAATAAACATCCATTTTACATATAACGATAGACGGGTCAGCTTTTTATTTCCAAACGAGAATGAACTAAAAAATTTTCGGAGAAAAGAGAGAACAAATGCGTTCATTGTTTTTCGTAGTTGGTTGCAAAAATCCCTTCAAAATTTATCTGACATGGAGCGTATACCACGGCCGTGTAATTCAATTGTTTCGGCTTTGGCCGGAAAAATATGGAAAGAACTCCCTAGTGAATATAAAAATTTTATAAAGAATTTTGTAAACGACAAACAAGCTTCGTATATACCTCAATCTAATGTATTGGAATACAATGGAAATATTTCGTCATCGAGTGCTGATTATTGGTATACACTTAATGGGAATCAATGTTCATATGAAGGAGAATTCTTAGATGGTTACCGATTTGAAGAATTTAATCTGTCACCAGACAGTAGATATGGCTATGAATACCATTATTTACCCGAATATCGATTTGAAGGATGTAATTTATCATCAGGTCAATATTCAAATGGATATCGATTTAATTCGCCACTAATTAACAGATATTACAACGGAAGCCAACATCCGGAAAATTATATGCATAAAAATCTTGTTTCCCAAAGTGGAACATATATTTTCACGACTCCGGGTAATAAGCAACAAGATCCCGCCGTGTTCACCGAGGTTTTTTCGCCCCAGGGAGTTGATTTTCAATATAAAGAACAAACTCATATAGACCTGCACTAACTAGTGCATACATTAAACAGGAGAAATAGAAATGCAACTTGCAATAATATTAAAATTTCGCACATACAGTATATGTAAGCAACCATTATTATTATGAGAAATACATTATTATGTGATGGAAACAAGTTTCGGTAGGTAACTTTGAAGAGTTTCGCCTATTTGTTTCACTAGTTTTCTGATAATTCCCTTTTTATTTTTCAATAAAATTTTTTTTGCAAAATTATCGAATTCATTATGAACTTCATTTAAGGTTATCGAAATAAAAAATATCGCACCAATGAAAAACAAAGTAGGCATTGCAAACTTCGGTATGACTTCTTATGCAACATAATTTAGCTTTAACAAATAAAAATGATAATCGGATTAGTGACTTCATAAACAAAAAAAGATTTACGTATTTTAAAATTTTTAAAAAATAATAATGATAAACAAGCAAAATTGTAATGGTAATTGTTGTCAAGATGATTTAATTTAATTTAAAAACATCTACAACTTGATGATAAATTTTCTATTATTTTTTAAAAATAATATATAAAATATATACGTATATGATATATTTTTATATCAGATATAAAATCTAGTATAAAAAAGAAGTCACTTTAATTTTATTATTACAGTAATAGTACTTTTTTTTTCGAAAAAATTAATTTAGTTGTTATTTCGATTGCTGCTTGAATTTTTTTAAAATTATTTGTATAAAAAACAAACAATTTCATATATGTATATACAGTATATGATAAGTATTAAATAAAAATTTATATATTGGATTATTGCTAAAATAATTAATAGTTTTTTTTATTATAATCATTCTAATATACAGTATAGTATATAATGCATTTGATAAATAAAATAATTTTAATAATATTATATTTATATATTTATTTATTGAATTATATTAGAATAATGCAACTAACTACTATACTGTAAACCTACAGGTCTTTTATATTTAAAACATAAATATTATTATCAACTTATATGAAATAATATTATTTATTTGATTATTACAAAACTGGTAATTAAAAAATTTTTTTAAATTTTAAATAAAATTGTTTAATAAATAAAAATATCAAGTCTAATCTTAATAAATTAAATATTTAATACTAAAATAAAAATATTATATAATATTATATATAATTGATAATTATTATATATTAATTAATATCAATACAATAATTTCTATATTTTTCAATATACAGTGCCCCCAATAAATGAAGGACCACTTATAAATTATTAAAATTAATCGAAAATAGTTTCTATATATCAAACTTTTTATTTTATTAACAAAAGCATATTTTATGTATTAAGTAAACATGTTCCTCAT